AGTAGCAATTAAAGCTGAAAACGTACACACTTCATGACCAACAGTTTCAAATCTAGGCGTATGCTTACCTAGAGAAACTCCTGCGTGTGCACAAGGAGGTGGTTCTGGGGGTATCTAGGGCAGCGACGTCGGAAACATAGAAAAGCGGTCTCAACCTCAAAACCTTCAGTATCTACCTTAATGGGGTAGACAAGTAAAAGTGTGATGTTATACAGCAGTTAAAATATATATAATTGGAGGGTTTTATCTTTTGTAAATTATACCTCAATAAAGCTGGTATATACATGTATACACATATCCTGTAGTGACATGAATAAATCTCAAAAATAATATTGCAAAAAAAAAAAAGAGAGAGAAATGCAGAATTATACCATTAGCAAAAGCTTAATGTTATTAACAACCACAAAACAGTACTATCCATGATTTATAGATACAAACATGGCGTGACGTTGCCGTCCGACCACGTTTCCGCTTGCAGGGGTCCTCAGAGACAGGGAGCAGGAACTGAGCCACAGGGGAAAAGAAGGCTTCTAACTAGGCAGTAACGTGTCTTGTAACAAAAAAGATAAGAAGCACAAATGACAGGAGGTTACCACTGTCAATTCCGCTGGTTTTATACTTTTAATGATTTTATGTTGAAATTATTTCACAATTAAACAAAAAGGTAATCTGGGATGTCAGAGGAAAGGCCCTGACTTTTCCCTGGGAAGTTGGCAAAGGTTCCAAAAGAGGTGACAGCTGGTGTGGAAGGCAGGGTGGCAGCTGGTGGCTTCCCTGGCGGGGGGCCTTTGGGAAAGGGGAGGCAGGGGTTCCAGGCCAGGGAATGCGCACGAGCAGGCCCTTCGCACCTTTTAATGTTTGAGGAATGACTTGTGTCTGTCAAGCTGCCCCTCCCTTGCTGCGCTCCTCATCCTCGTCCCTGATTCCAGCTCCCCTCTTTCTGGGCTGCGAACATAGTAAATAGGCTCCTAGGGGAAAAAATCAGGGGTCATTTGATGATTTTTTTAAGTCTACATAATCTAATAGCCAAATATATAAAATTGAACATTAAAATGGGAAACAGCCACTGATACAGGGAAAACAGAATTCTTAGAGGATACTGTGTTTGACCATGTGCAAATTTTGAAAACCAGCTGAAACTGATAGTTTTCTGAGAAAAGATACATGATCAGTTTGGACCCAGAAAAACTAGAAAAACCTAGCAGACCAATAATCATGGAAGAAGCTGTTTTCATAAAACTCCACTCCAAGAATACCCAGGTTTTGACAGGTCTTAATTTCTATCAAACCTTCAAGGAGGAGATGATTCCAATGTTATTTAAACTGTACCAGCTGTACCAAGTCATAGATAAAGCAAGATTCCAAATTATTCTGTGAAGCCAGCACAACACTTACAAAGTTAGCACACAAAAAAAGAGAAAAATTACTTTCAAAAATTTTATTTATAAATATTGTTGCAAATTTCATGAATTAATAAGAACGAATAGACTCACAGCATTATGCTAAAAAAATGAACACACCACAAGCAAGTGAAGCTATATTCTAGAAATATGTATTCAATATTAGGAGAATTATCAATATAATTAAACAAAGTAATGCTTAAAAAGAGGTGAAAAATCATATAAACAGCTCCATAAATGTTGAAACCATCTGAAAGGCATTTGAAAAATATATGTCTCTAATTTTAACTCTTATTTAGTAGGAATAAACAAATACTGCTGACTATGATTTTATGCATGTGTGTATGTGTATATATACATTTTTAACACTTCTCTAGAAGTACAAATCAATACAAATTTTGAAATAGAAATTATAAAAAGAGGCCAATTTATCAATTAAAATTGCAGATAATATTGATCCCCTGGAATAAAAAAGAACAAAACAGTCCACTGAAAAAAACTGTTATAAAAATATACTAAGATGACTGCTAATAAATATTTTAAGTGTATAGCTTTTCTATACATAAATGTTAACCTCTTTTAAAATATAATTTTACAATAATTTTTCTGATATTTACAATATCAGTGAAAGTGCTCAGCGTAACCAGAAGTAAGGCTAACCAGAGTTGGCAAGAAAACTCTTTTCTTGCCATTCACTCCTGGTTCCCCGCAGGTAATAATAATACACATAATAATACACAGCGGGGCAAAAGTAGGGTTATAGCTGTGAGTACATGAAACACAGAGCTTATTTTTGTATTGTTATTTATTAATTATTGTATTATTTTCTATATGAACAACTGTTTTCATTCCAATCTGTCTATGTGTTGAATATATTTCAGGCCTCTGTTTCCTTATTAATCTTTTGTTTGGTATTCTACCCATTATTTGAAGTGGCTTATTGAAATCTCCTATTATTGTGTTACCATTTCTTCCTTCACCTCTTTCAATGTTTGCTTCATATATTGGGGTACTCTGCTTTTAGGTGCATGTATATTTATAATCGTTATATCTTCCTGGAGAATTGACCTTTTTATAATTACATAATACCCTTTGTATTATACAAAAAAAAGTCTGCCTTGTGTGGCAGACTATTTGACTTATAGTCTATTTTGTAATATAAATATGGCCACCCCTGCTCTCTTTTTGTTACCATTTGCACGGAATATCTTTTCCCATCCTCCCCCTTGCAGCCCATACGTGTCTCTACAGCTAAGGTGGGTCTCTTGCAGCCTGCACATAGTTGCACCTTTCACCATCCTTTACCTGAAATAACTCGTTGCCTCCTCACGGTAACTCTATGCAGATGGTGCTATCGTTGTTCCCATTTTTAGATAAGGAAGCTGAGGCACAGGAAGGTTAGGTAGCTTCTAGATCCAGGGAAACTGGACTTTGAACTAGCAGTTGACTTGGAGGTCATGCTCTTTGTATCCATCCCACAACATAGTTAAATTGAGATTTTTGAATCTGGCGGCGGGGGGGGGGGGGGGGGGGGGGCGGGTGGCGGGGGAAGGAAATGGATTGTTCAAACATGATTTGGGACAACTCTCTAGGCCCTTGGGGGGAAAGTAAAGCTAAACCCTACCACACTCCTTGTACCACAGTAAATTCTAGAAAGAAAAGATTAAAAAGAAGGAAAGATTAGAAAGAAAGAAAGAGAGAGAGAGAAAGAAAGAAAGAAAAGCCTAACCATACTATTGAAAACCACAAGAAATATTTTTAGGATCCTCTCATAGGAAATACTTTTGACTACAGAAAAATCTGAAATTTCTTCAAGTAAAAGATGGCATAAATAACATTTAAAAAGAGACAAAATGACATTTTGTGATACACATGATAAAAAGTCAGCTGCCTTAATGTAGGGAGGAAAAAAAGCCTCTTAGCAATCAATAAGATAAATTAGAAAAGATATACCCAGAAAAATAAATGCAAAGGCCAATCAATCTGTAAACATGAAAATAATGTCTTCCCTTTCTGATTATTAAGAATTACACACTGAAACATGGTATCACTCTCCATCTCTCATATTGCCAACATTTAAAAATCAGACAGTGCACCGTGCATCAGGCGGGGAGGCAACAGGCACGGCCTGCAGGGCTGGCCGCGCAAACTGGCTCATCCTCTTCAGAAGGCCATTTGGCAGTATCTGTCAGGCAGTATTAGGTGCCCCTAACCCTTAACTCGCCACCCGGAGTTCATTCTACAGCTAACCTCACACCTCGCACCAAGACATGTAATCAGAGGTGATCCTCGCGGCTTTTTTTGTGCAGCAAAAATGTAGAGACAGCCAAAACATCCATAAAGACCCATTCATGTACATTACAGTGCCTCCTTCAGTGGAACACAGTGGAACATAGAGTGGAACACTCTATGAATGATGTGTGTTGCTCTGCACGGATGTGTGATGTCTATTAACTAACAAAACAAAGATAAAGCACCAGGAGTCTATTCCTGGTTGGGTTTAAAATAAAAATGCAGGCATAGATCTGTATTTGCTGATATTTGTGGAAAAGTTTCTGAAGAAAACTGAAACAAGAAGCTTGCCAGCGTGCATGTCCGGGGGCGGGACAGAAGTCCAGGAGAGCAGGCAGGCTTCTCACTGTGTATTGTTTTGAATGGTTTGATATTTTTCCCCATAAGCATGTTATTTTCAGAATTTAAAAGAAATATTTAAGAAGAAACCAATTATAAAGGCAAATACTCTTTAAAATGCCTCACCATGAACTTTCTTTTCAAATTCTTGACGCCGTGGTTCACCAGTTCTCATATTAAAAGTTTACATCTGGAGAGTCCCAAGAGATGGCATCCAATCTTCATTTTGTCCATGAGAAAAATGAGACCAGGCTCCTACAATGCTGCTTGCCAGAGAGGGGCAAATGACCTCTTTATATACATGATCAAAACTTCTCCTTGAACTTGACCTTTCCCCAGCACTTAGTCCTGCACATCTTTTCCATGTGCATCCATCCAGGTGGGGAACCTGTTAAAATGCGGATTCCCAGGCACTTTCCTGAAGAGTCTGATTTAGTGGGCCAGGTAGGGCCCTTAGACCTGCATTTTAGCAGTGCCCCCCTCAAATGATTCTGATGTCCTACTTGAAGTCACCTGACGGTTCTGGCCCCCTCTGATCTCCCAAGCTCAGTCCTGCTGGCAGAGTCTGTGAATCTAGGCTGAAGTCCCCCACCCCAGCGAGGGAAAGTGGGGTGCTCCAGTGGAAGAGGCAGAGAGACCCAGGTGCTTGGACTCCCAAGGCAGAGCTCCATCCCTGGTCCCCCTCCCCTCGGGCCCCTGCTCAGCTGAGATGAAGGATGGCCCCCTGCTCACTCACCCCTAGGGTGAGTGGCTGGATGTGGAGGTGGGAGGAAGACTGGGAATCATAGCTGCATCTGGGGTGCCCCTCACCCCACTAGAGCCCCCTGAGGCCTTGGGGGAAGATGCTGACCAGCACATTGGGCCTGGGCCGGGACTGGGCCTGGCCTGTTGGGCGGGGGAGGAGCCGCGGGGAGGCCTGGGATCCCTGCCCGCCTGCACTGACAGTGCTTCATCGTCCCTGTGCCACAGAGCCTTGGACCAGCCACCTTTGTGGTCAGGAGTCCAGCGGGGCTGTGGCTGGGCTGCTCGGAAGCACCTGACAACGGATCGAGAGGAGGGACGGCCAGTGACAGCTCATCTGCCTGAGCCCCAGACCTCACCTGCTGCCCAGGTAGGTGCTCTTGCCATCCTCCCACTCGGCAGGGCTCAGCTCCCCACACCAGCTGCTTCCTCAAGCCTGCGGCTCTCCAATCAGTGCTTGGGCAAGGGCCCTCCCTAAGCCCCTTAAACCCACAACCGGATGGGAGCGCAGGAAGGGCCCAGACCCATCTCCAAAGGATACTATCCCAGATGACCTGGCTCTCGAGGCCTGAGAAGGGGGCCAAGGCTCTCTGGCTCTGGGTAAGAGGCTCCGTACTCCACAGAAACACCCCCTGGCTGGGCTGCTCGCTGGGCCCCCTGAGTGGCTCTTGCCCAACTGACCCCGTTTTGGTCTGGAGCCCAGCCAGACATGGCCGCTCTGAGAGTTTCCTGCCTCTCAACACTTTTTTCTTTGAGAAAGGGTTATGACAAATGGTATCTTCATAGGCTGTTAGAGCTGGGAGAGATCTTAGCAATACAGTCCGACCTCGATCTCATTTTACTTCTCAAGCAATACTTACATCAATAGTGTCATTTAAAATGTAACGGAACAGCTCAGAGGAATCAGGTGTAATCTCATCAGAACGGCACAGGAGGCCCCTGGGTCTCAGACAGCCCTTCCCGGTTCAGCTGCCTCCTCCCTGCCCAGCTGCGAGTAGCCTCTGCTCCCCGACCCCCAGCTTCTACCCCCAAACCCCCAGCTTCTGCTAATGAGGAGAAGCTCTAACTGTGATAAGATTTCTTTATCTGAGACTCTCTAAAATCTAAAGAAGTTATCCCGTGTGGGCTGTTGGCCAAGAACATTGCAAGTGTTGTTATTATCAATAAAAGTAATCTTAGATTTAGTTCTTTTCTATGCGGATCAGAGAACTTGATGTTCGCATCTCCCTTGTAATTTCTTGGTCCAGAGTTGTGAAAGCTCTCCTGGCCAAGGAGTCTCAGCCTCAGGGAGTATAGCAACCACTTTCGTCCCTCTGGCCCTGCCCACTGCCCAGCCCTGTGCTGGACCCTGCCCCCTCCAGCCTAGATTACTGCCGGAGGCAGCACCAAATAGTGGGGAAGAGCCCAGGCTCAGGAGTCAGGTGGGTGCCGTTCCCAGTTCCACCACCGAGTGGCTGTGTCGTCTCTACGTGTGTCAGTCTTTCCATCTGTAACATGGGGTTAATAACTGTACCCCCAGGGGATTGTGAAGGTTAAAGTAATTATCTGCAAAGTGCTCGAAACCACATCTAAGTGCTTTCTGAGTGCTTCACGTGCTAGTTCTATCCTTATAGAAGCCTCTTCCCTTGTCCACACCCTGCTACCCAGCTCACCTCCCTAAAGCACAGGGCAGTCACCTCCCCTGCTCTAAAGCCATCCATGGCTCCCTACTGCATATTGAGGGACTCTTCTCTCACCTGCCCTTCAAGGGTCTCAAAGACAGAAACTCTCATTTTCCTTGCACATAAGAGGGAATAATTAACATTTGCTGAGAGGGTTTCCACCCTCAAGGCAGGAAAGCCAAGACTCTCAGGAACACAGGAGTGGAAGTACAGCCACCTGCAGCCCTGCAGCTGGGAGCTTGATCCGAGCTCTTCTGCCTCCCGACTTGGGCCCAGCTGTGGCAGCCCTGGAGGTCAGGCGCCGTCTCTGCCCCCGAGGGGAGGTTTGGTGTCCCTTGCGTCTGCTGGGGCTTCAGATTCAGGGAGCCCTGTTTTGGACTCCAACCCTCGTGGCTCACATCAGAGTGAGGACAGGATGCCCGGGCCCAGGCCAAACAGGCGGTGACCACAGCTATAACTCACATTCTCTGATGAGTTCAGGCCAGGTGGCGGATGTGACATCATTGTCCTTACCCATCCCTTGGCAGTGGCCAAAGCCTCAGCCCCCATAGCTCAGGTGGGAATCCTGTGGCCCGCAGAGACCCCTGCAATCTGGCACCTTGGACAGAGAACACAGTGAGCCTCATGCCCTGTATCTCAGCTGCTTCTCTGGCAGAAGGGAGGCCACGTGCCACAGAGGAAGGAGCGCTGGGTTGGGGTAGGAAGGCCCGTGTTCCAAACAGGACTCCTCACCTGGCGAGAACTTGGCCGCATCAGTTACCTTCTCTGAGCCTCTATTTTTTCATCTGTGGAATGGGAGGGTAATCCCCACTTTTGTAGGAATGAAGCGAATGCCCAGAGCACCCGTATAGTGCCTGCGTGGGGTGGGCACTCAGTAACCTGCAGGATCGCTGGTCGGTCCAGGCTGCTGGGTGGAGCTGCCAGCCCCTTGCTTTACTTAGCTGAAATTTTCCTCGCCTGGCCTCCACTCTGAGACAAAGGAAAGTGGTGGTGTTTTGGCAGAAGAGGGGCGGAGGAACACTCTGAATCTTCCCAGACTCCTGGCAAGCGTGAGCGGCGCTGCAGGGGAGAAGCGGAGTTCTGTCTAATTTTCTCAGAGATTTTTCCACTCGGGTGATGCCAAGCTCAAGAAGCCAAAAGTAGAGCGACAGACCCTGCTGGTTCAGGCAGGGTGGTATTTTTCTCTTGATTCATTCAACAAATGAGTGAATTTGTGGAGATACCAGGCACCGTGCTAGGCACTGGAACATTCAGCAGCAAGTGAAACAGACAGGGACCCTGCCCTCAGGGGGCCTGCATTCTAATGAGGGTGGAGGCGCTGATACAGCATCAACTATGGATGAAGCGTGTTAGAAGGCGGCATGGGCAACGGAACTGAAGGAAAAGGGGTCGGGAGTGCCAGGGGAGACAGGGCCGTCAGCACAGGCCTCCCAGAAAGGCAACGTTTGAGACGCCAGTCGCCTGCTCCCTGAGGGACCCCTACAAAGCCCGTAGGCTCACAGTCAGGGCCAGGGGCCTTTTATGAGATCCCAGGAAAGGAGCAAAGCCTAGAAGCTTGTCTAGTTCCAGCCCAGGTGTCACTCCCTTCCTCCAAAACCTTACAAATTAGGTGCAAATCATCCAGCCTGAGATTCAGGACCTCATGGTCTGGCCCCATCCATCTGTTGTCTCCCCAGATCCTTCTCCCCCTACCTCTGCAGCCAAGCCAGTCAACCTGCCACTTCTGGAATATTCCACCCTATGCCTCCCTCCTCCATTCCTTGTCCCCTTTGCCTGCTCCCACTGGTTTCTGTCAGCCCAGAAATAACCACCTGCCACCTCTCTGAAGTCTTCCCTGGCCCCCGGGGCTGCGGTCCCTGAGCCCCGTCGCCTGGGCCTGCACCTTTCTCACTGCGTGGCCCTTCCTGTGCCTTGGGTGTAGGCATGGGCTTCCCTCATTTCTCCGCTGGGCGGAGTGCCCTGGGCAGGGCCTGGAGGTCTTCCTCCTTCAGCAGGTGGAGTGCTCAGCAAGCACTGGCTTAATTGAGGGCGCCCAAGCTCAGAGGCCCCCAGTAACAGTGGGGCAAGGGACTGGCAGGAGCCTCTGGTCCACTGGAAGAAGTAGAAGTGGGAGGCCAGCAGGAAAGGAGAGAGGGAACTAAAATGGAGGTGAGATTCGATGAGGGAGCTAGTGAAGGAAGGGGAGGGAGAAACCCCCACCAAATTTCCTCCCGAGAGGCAGACCGTCGGAGATAGAAGGATAGCTCTCCCCCAGAAGTAGCTACTACTCCCTTCAGCACCTCAGGCCAGTGCCTCCTTGTGTCTAACTAGAATCCCTCTTGCAGCCGCTGGAACTCATTTCCTCAGGTTCCATCCTCTGGATTCAGGTCTCTCTCTGAGTCCTCATTCAGCATGAATCAGAGTGGTTTTCTGACCCTCCCCAACCCAAGGGGCAGGAGCAAGCTCATCGCGAGGCTAGCCCCTGGCCTGGAGACTTGTGCTTTAGTTGAGGTGACCAGCGACCCCTAGAGCTACAGACGCCGCCTGGAGGGCCAAAGCTGGGGGCCGCTGTAGGTCACAGAGCTTGTGCCAGCCAGTCAGCCCTCAGCCTCTCTTCAGAGCGAAGCTCCAGACAAGCAAATCCACAAACAGAGAGCCCCCACCACAGGAGCCCTGCGATTCCCAGCCCCTCGTGTTCCGGGCTTTCTGCCTTGCAGGCCCTGGGAAGCCTGTAAGCCAGACTGGCAGCCTCTGCCATCTGGCTCCCACCCATCGCTGAAGCAGCTGAGCTCACAGGGAGGGCCCCCTCCGCCTCTCTCCATTTCCCCCCACCCCCATGCTTGGCAGCCAGTGAGTCCTGCCCAATTTAGACAGATGGGACCATAGCCTGGTGTCCCTCCCATCTCTGCTGAGGGACCTGAACTCTCTCAGGGAAAAGCCTTAACACTCCCCCTCCCCCTCCACTTTGGTGCACGCGTGTCTCCCCCTGCAGTGCCCTCCCCCTGGCCTCCATGTGGTGGCTTCTCTTCACGGGGAAGCCCCACATGTGCTCAGAGCTGGGAATGTGGTTGCTTGGAAGCAGACTGTCTGGGCTTAAGTCTCTCCTCAGCCACAGTAGTTCCTATCTTGGGATTTTTTGTGAGGATTGAAAGAGCGCGTACTTGCAGAGTCTGAGCACAGTGCCTAGCAGGAAGCCTTCAATTAATGTGACTACTGCTATTCATTCTTTAAGAGTTGCCTTGGCTGGAGCCTTCTCCAGGTAGCCTTCCTGGATTGCCCAGGGCTCAGTCAAGTGCTCCTCCTCTGTGCTCCCTGCACTTCTTCACCAGGCCCCCGGAGGGCACTGATGCAGGTCAGTTGCGGTTTCTTTGGGGGTCTGTGTACCCACGAAAATCTTGTGCCTACATTGTAAGCATCTTGAGTGCAGAAAACAGAGCCTAGCCCACTATTTTGCTGAATAAATGATTTTGTGAGTGTCCTGTGGGCGGCTGGGAGGTACAGGCTGAGAGAATGGGACAGCCTGCCGGGACTGACTTCCCCAGGGCCTGTCCTGAAAGACCAGAGGCCCACAACTGAGCAATGTCGGAACCACCCAGACACTTGTTAGAGGTGCACGTTCTCAGGCCCCACCCCAGACCTGCTGTGTCATAGACTCTGGGGTGGGGCAGCCACCTGTTTAACAAGCCCTCCAGTAACTCGTTTCATGGGAGGTAGAGGCCCTCAGGGGTCT